TTAAGAACTCAGAAAGTCTTGTGGGGTCGTACATTTGACCCAACAATTTCAGAGATGGCCGATATGAGACAAATTATGGAGATAGTAGAATTTCAGCAATGGGAGCACTTGTTTGAAGGGAGCATGCCTCTGGTGTACGAAGATGCGGTACAAACTTTCTACGCATCTCTCTTCACCGTTGAGGGGGATCACATTTGTGCGCTAGTAAATGGAGTAGATATTGTACTCGACGCTTCAGCATTGGGAAAGGTTCTCAGAATTCCATGTGAAGGAATGTCCTCAGTTAAGGGTGTCTGTGGTGTCAACTTTAGGAGAGCCATCATGAAAGAGCAAGCTATTCAGAATAGGGAATAGGTGCATAAAAAGGTATTACTTCCTGAGTATCAGCTTCTTTTTGAACTAGTCAATAAGGTGCTCTTACCTCATCCTGAGAGGCGGTCTATTGCTATAAAATCGGATATGGTCTTAATAGAAGCACTTGATGAGTTTGTCCCAATCAATCTGCCAGCAATCATGATAGATCATATGCAAAATGTGGCAAACTTTAAAGGTGAGAATCATAGGCTACCACATGGTTTTCTCCTCACTCAGGTGTTCAAATTCTATAAGGTCCCCTTGGGGAATCCCAGAGTGGGCACAAGCAAGCAAACCTTCTCTAAAACCACTTTAGAAGAATGTGAATGTGTAGAATGAGTTGGTGGAAGCATCTCGACCATTTATCAGCTGATCAACGCTCAAAATGTAGCTTCTGAAGAGATCAGAAGGTTGAGGGCTCAAAATGCCATACTGAAAACTCAGCTCAGTCAAGCAGTTAAAGGACCTAATTCTGTTAATGAAGAAGTTTCCCGACTGACAAAGGAAAATGATAAACTTCGGGCACAATTGCTTGAAGAACAACTATATACAAATGCTCGACTAGACCTAGTTCTCAAAATCATTGTTGCCTCTCCTTCCAAGCCTCCTTCTTCTAATGTCCTCTAGGATCCTCTTAGTGGCCAGCTATCTTTGCTCTAATATTTTGTGGCTGTTGTTTTATTTTTGTTTGCCTTTTACTGATGGCATGCTGGAATTCACCATTACTGCTCCTGTCTTGCTCAGTCCATTGTTAATATTAATGAAACATCTCCTCTTTTTGCATGTACAATGTTATGTTCCTCTGGCTTCTCTTTTCTGTCATATTGTGTGCACATTTGTGGCATGAGTTAGCCGTATTAGACTTCTTTATGCTAATTACCTGCTTGTATTCTTTTTAATGATGCCAAAAGGGGGAAACAGTCATAAGGGAAAGGGATCTGAGATTAAGGGGGTCATAAGGGAAAGGGATCTGAGATTAAGGGAGAATCAAAAGGAAAAAGAGAATAAGGGGAAATCAAAAGCAAACGGTCAGGGGGAACTTGTGTAGAACTTGTGTAATTTTTGGTATCTTATCTGGTTATTTCTGCTCTAAACAAATACTATCAATGCCTAAGTTTGTCATCATCAAAAAGGGTGAAATTGATGGGTTTTCAATGTCTTTGTCTTATGCTTCTTATGTTTTGATGATCTAACAAACTTATTGTGAAGAACCAAATAGAGAACCTAACCCACATGGTATATATTTCAAATGAATAATGTCTAGTCTGATCTCTAGTAAATGAATGAACAACCACAGGGAGGAACACAGTAGGGACCTAGTGACCTGGTCCCTTAAGGTTCTCCGACAGAAGTACAAGTCAGTGATTGTCCGCAACCATTATAAAGAGGAACAAAATAGGGACCTGGTCCCTTAGGATTCTTCGATAGAATTACGCGTTAGTGACTGTCCACAACCATTATAAGAGGAACACAACATGGACCTGGTCCCTTAGGATTCTCTGACAAAAAGTACAAGTCAATTGTACAACTAGAACGTAACAGCAGAAAGTGACCATCTCGCAACTGTTATAAAAGAGGAACACAACTGGGACCTGGTCCCTTAGTGTTCTCTAATAGAAGTACAAGTCAACTATACAGCTGGAACACAACTGCACAAAAGTGACTGTACAACAGACAGTGCAGCAGTCACTTCTCATTGGGAAGAAGCATGTACCAAGAATTGACATCACTATCCATTGTGATGTCTTTTGTGATATAACAACCTGGTGCAAGGCACAACACTTCACTTGTGCATTTAGTGATATTTTCTCAAGCATAACAGTGTTCATCCGGCATTGAAGTCACTGGTGTATCAAGAACAAGAAGACAACTCCACTAAGGATCAGTTTCATAATGAGTTTATGTATATGCGTAGTTGAGTTGTAATCTTGTTATTTGCTCTTCATTGTATCTCCTATTTTTCTTTCTTAGAAGCTTTGTCTTAGGAAAACCAAAATCCGTAAACTTCCGAGGTTATGTTGTGACTAGGATTAGTCATCAGATTAAAGTATTTGTAACTAGAAGAGTCACAAAGTGGCTTGTGGTGAGAGCATCACAAGTTAGTTGAAGTCTTTGTAATAGGGTTATTACAAAGTGGCTTATAATAGTGAGATTGCAAGTTAGTGAAATTAAAAGCCTACAAGTGTAGGTCGTGGTTTTTTGATCCCCTTGTGTGGGATTTTTCCACGTAAAAATCCCCTGTCTTTTTTACTTACAGTTTTATTAGCATTCTCAGTTTGACCTTATAGAGGACCAGGTACTCTGCTGTTTGGTGGACTCATACAAACTAACAGATACCCCCGACCCACTCCTTGAAATGGGGGACTACATTGGGGACTCGGGCGATCGATGCATATCAAGAAAGTAAGTGATGAAATAGAAAAGTACGTTGAAAGGGTTTTTTTGCTGACTTGAGAGGAAATAAACTTACGTGTCGAGTTCCACTTCTCAGGGAACGGCAGAAAATTAAAGGGAATGAAATCTTCGATCTTGACCGGAACAAATCTCCCCAGCCAGCCTCGATCACTGTATTCGTAGATGCTCGAAAAGTGAGCCTTCTTTGCTCATCGGGCGAGCTTGATTAACCCCCCTCGGAAGATTTGAGGGCTGTAGACAAGAAGCAGATGGTTGATAGTGAATCGGGAATCCTCCGTGTTGTTGACAAAGTGATGGAAGAGAATCATGATCCTCCAAAAATACGGATGGATCTGCCCGAGACAGACCTCGTATCTCTTACAAAAATCAAGGACCACCGTGTCAATCGGGCCAAGTGTAAAAGGGGTACATATAAACGCTTAAGTACCCCTCCATGTGCATTGTGATGTCCTCATCAGTACCGGGGATGACTACTTCCTTACCTTCCCACTTGCAATCCTCCCAGACCATCGGGAGTGTGTCTTCGGTGATGGAGCAGATATACCTCCATACCTCCTCACCGCGATCTCCTTGTTGGAGGCCTTCTCGATCTTGAAGTCATTATCTGTGGAACAACCTCCGGGGATATAATCCTTAAGAGGAGGTTTCGGGGCCACTGTCGGCAGGGTCACTTCGATATCAGCACCCGGGGTAGAAGTTGAAGGGGTGGTATTTTGAGGTACAGACTTCGAGGTTTTTGCCATCTTTATCTGGGAATATGAAGGTTTGAAGGCGGATATGAAGGTTTGAAGATGGGTATGAAGATTTAAAAGTCTGACTTGAAGATTCAAAGATGAAATATGAAGATTTGAAGATTGGAGATGAAGGAAAGAAGAAGTGAAGAAGTGAAGAACAATGTATGAAGATTTGAAGGGATTATGAACAAGTAAAACGTTCGAGGGTAACTTATGAAGATTTGAAATCGGAAAGTAAAAAAGTGAAAAAAAAAAAGGGAAATGTGAGCTTTTATAGGAGGGAAATAATTAATGCGTGACATTTCACATTTGATGCCCACCGAGGATTGTCAACCAGCGGTTGACACGTGTCCGAAGTCAGAACTACGCGACTGATGGGACATTTTGCTAACTCGTCAGCCCGTTATAGCGTACGAAGGAAGGAAACGGGGTCAGTTAATCACTTCTCGTCGTTTCTATAAATCTGCTCTCCAAAAAGTGAGGGGACTATCTGTGTGCGGGTAAAATTGGAGATAAAGGTTACCACCATTTCCCGATAAAAAAATGAGAGGATAGCTCAACCCAATATGGCCTCGGGTAAAGCCGAAGGCTTCTACGGACCAGAGCCTGGGGAGGACGAATGGTGCACTCAGAACCGGACGTGGCCAAGCATTGAGCTCAAGCAAAGTGAAGAACCAAGGCTACGGGAAAGATGGTTAGACAGGACAATCGAGGGGCCGAAATATCCATCCTTAACCGGATATTACGGCACAAATCTCGCCCGATATCAACTGCATATCGGCGTTTACTAGAAGAAAAAGATTTTTACCTTACTTATACTTGTACTAGGATTGAACTTCCCCTACTATATAAAGAGGAGAACTTTTTTATTTTGAGGACTATTGTCGGCACGCATATCAAAGAATAAAGTTAATTTTTGTTCTCTAGCTATTGTTTAAAGTGTTCTTCAGCTGCTTGTTTATTGAGTTACAACCGAGTCCGTTTCGAGGGCTGGATCGGAACTGATTTCCAAACACTCATTGCAAAGCTAGGCTTAATCATCCATCGCATTTGGTTTGATCGCTTTGTTTTCCTTTAATTCAATTATTTATGGTTCTTAATTCATTCATGTTAAATTAAATCACATATCCTTTAAACTGCGTATAAATTCAATTGTTACTAGCTCGCTCTAAGGATAAACAAATTTACCACGAAGAGCTGGTCATTCTTTATGCCAACTAATGTAGGAACGAAATAATATCTTTCCTCCCTCTTGACAACTTTAACCCACTGTCAGTCATTCAAAAATAAACTCATCCTCCAAAGAATTGAAATAAGAATAAAAATAGGAAAAATACCATCAAAAGAAAAGAAACATTAAGAGACAAAACTGTGAAGTCGTCGCAAAGACTCTTTCTTGGAAGGAAGGCTTTGATTAAAGAATTCATACAACGGATGGCAAATTCCAATATAAATAAATAACCCCAAATAAGTATTTCTAAAAGAACGCTGAAACAATTTTAAGCACAAAATTGGAGTCCTACTTCTCTGTAATCATGCCAAGAGTACCACCACAACAGCAACAGAAAAGTACAAACATGGAGGAGTTAAAGAAGGGGGCATGGTCTCCTGAAGAAGACAAAAAACTGAGAGCTTATATCATGAAATATGGCATTTGGAATTGGAGTCAAATGCCCAAATTTGCAGGTCTTAGCACTAAAAACATAATTGAATCATTTCAAATCATTTCCATTCAATATGTACTTTCTAATGATTCCTTCTCGGATTTCTACCTGCATAAAACAACTTAATTATAACTCCTTTGGGTAATTTCTTTGTGCTTAATTAGCCTCTTGAACTTTGGTCATGGTTGCAGGGCTTTCAAGAACGGGGAAAAGTTGTAGACTCCGATGGGTTAACTATCTCAGCCCTGATGTTAAAAGAGGACCCTTTAGCATGGAAGAAGTTGATATAGTCGTCAAAATGTATCAGGAACTTGGAAACAGGTGAGAATAAATTAATTTAATTTTCCTACAAAAAAAGCCGTCTACCCTAACGCATGTATTAGTGGCTGATTTTACGGCTTGAAACTGTGACCTATAGCTCATACGGAGACAACTTTACCGTTACTCCAAGGCTCCCTTTCATTTTCCCCACACAACATAGCATTATAAATCTCTCGTGTTTAATTTAATATCTTATCCTAATTAATGGAACGTAAGTAGAAGTATCTAAGAGAATTTCCTTGTTTCTATACAGATGGTCAACCATTGCTGCAAGATTGCCAGGAAGAACAGACAACGAAGTTAAAAACTTCTTCCACACACACTTAAAGAAGCATTTGGGAGTCAAAAATAATGCACTAGTGAAAAGTCCAAGGCAAGACGCAAAAGGGTGGAGAAAACCAAAGAAAATGAAAAGACAAATACGATCAAAGCTGACGAAAGACCTGTCAACACCAGTTTACTATCACCTCATGTTTCTTCACCCTGCAGCAGCATTATAACATGTGAAGAAAACCAAATGATGGATGTTGTGAATTTCTCACAAACGTACCTGAATTGTTACAACGTTAGTTCACTTCACGATCAATCAGATATTAACGTGGAAAACACAGTTATCTTGGAGAGCAACCCGGAAATAGATGAAAATATTGGTGTTGCTGACTCTGATCAACTTTGTCATCAGTTTGATCAGTACTCCCATGCATGTTCCATTTCCGATATTGGTACAAGCTTTAATTACTCTATCGATCAGTTCGATATGAATTCCTTCTGGCTTGATGTAATTAGGGGTTTAGATCATTTTATTTTCTGAAAGATGTAACAACATAGAAATATCCATGTCCAGTCCTAGTTTTTGTTTATCTCTCTTTTTACAAAGCCATAATCATGTATGTTCATTAAACATGAAAATAAAATTAAATACAAGTTATTACGTCTTATCTAAGTCAATTCATTAGGTTCGTATATAACTATCAAAGCTTTGAGTTTGAGGTGTATGGACCTCGTGCGCATCTCACTTTGCTTTTGCCTAATTTTTAATTACTACCAAAAAAAAACCGGAGAAAATGATGTTGTATAGCTTCTCTCAAAATAATAACCAAAAATATATATATTTTTGTATATATGCATTTATGTATGTTGTACACAAAAATATACAAACTTTATATATTTTTGCAACTATCAAATATAAATAATTTCGACCGCTGGCTAAAAGTGATCTTTGTCCGAATCCATAACTGTTGCACCTAATAAAAGAATAGAGGTATAGTCAGCCACGCGTTTATGGAGGAGTTAGGGATAAGAAACTAGGGCTATCGAACCATATATATCGAAGGTTAGTAAAGGTGATATATTTCTTTTTCTGTGCGACAATATGACTAAACTTGGACCAGTTGGAGAAGTAAACTACTGACAACATTAATTTCCAATTTCACAGTCAAGGAGCTTATTACTGATAAAGAACTTATTCTTATTCATGACTTCAACCCTCACAACTTTGTTCTAAAAGTAGCTAGTATTGACATTAACTTTATTCATGATTAACCTTAGCGATACTGATGATGGGAATTTATAAGGCTGAGTTCCTGTACCAATAGAAAGACTTGACACAAGGATCTCCCTTTCGGAACTTTTTTCTTTTTTCAGTATGTGAAAGTTAATCCAAAACAAGTTTGATGCAAATGATACCTCAATGCTGGGTCCATATCTAAGATGGAAGGTCGTTGGTGTATTCTCATAAAATAGTGACAAAGGTCACGTCTATACCCAAAAGTTAGATTGGAGATATACGTGATAGTGCAGGATTCAGGAATAGCACTTTGAGGGCTCACTCTCGCTGCGTTATAAACTCCAAGAATTAGACAAATCGAACCTTCTAAAAGTTACTACATCATTAATATGCTGGGAATATGCACTCGGGACTTGTTATCTTCTTTCTGCATAGATTGGACAGAGATTCCTGATTCCGGCGAGCCTTTCGTCTTGTTATCTTTATTAAAACGACAAACCTATGAACAATTCCAGCCTTTCCTCTTGTTCTATTGGACTTCTTATTAGTAACAAGTTCTTTTCATTAGCCTTCTGGGAAATGCATAGTGGCTTGAACTGGGAAGGTTAGTTACGAATCTTTCTTGTTGTAGCTTGGCAACGGAATCAGTTGGAAAGACAGCTTCCTCGGGAAAGTGGTTTGCAATTAACATTAAGTCAATTACAGGAAATGCTTAAAATACATGAATGCTTAATTTTAAAAGCCTATTCTAGTTTAAGAACAACAGATCAAATATCAGCATTCGGTGCATGTCCATTGTCCAAGCTAATTTCCTAAGAAACAGAGGCCTGTTTGCTGCAGTTTTATGTGATTTTTTAGTCAGATATAATATCCAAGTTCACAGTCCCTGATAACAGTGGTTTGCAGGGTTTGAATGTGGTTGATGATGCATAGGGTAGCACTTACTGTAATTAAAATTCACAAGAGAACTTGAGGCGTTTGTCCTGCACTCTATAAATGCCGGCTATTCGTCCTGAAACTTGCAGATTTCATGCATCTTATTGCCTATTTTGCACAAAATGCCATTGAATTTGCTTGTGAATATACACTTCTGGGGTGAAGTCGAAACTAGTTTGTATTTCTTCATCTCTTCTTCCACCATTCTCTTCAAGGTGTCCCTGATATCCCCCAATGCCCAAGTTACTGAGATGTGAGGTCGTGGATCCTGCCATCAAAATCCAAAAAAATGTAATATCTCACTGTCACAGGAAGAATCAATTACAGTGGCTAAAAGTGAAAGTGGCAGTGAAATAAACATAGCTTTATGTGGTCAGACCTTGTAAAATTCCGGAAGATTGTGAAGTTTGTAGACTTCATTAACAGCTTGGATTTGCTTTCTTATCTGAGACACACAAAGATACAAGTAAGTTTCCTCCCTTGCCTCAAAGAATTATATCACAGGTGGAGGACGAAGAACAATAAGCTTTTATCTAACTGGACATGAATGACGCCAGAGGGGAAAATAGTAGAGAGCTTAGTTTAAACTCATTGTTCCATAATTGAACTCATCGAAAGATGAACATCCAGAACAAGCAAATATCAGCTAGAAGCTCACCACCATAGAGCATTAATTGACCAAAATTAAAGCAGGAAATAACCATAGACACAACTAAGATTAGAAGTCAACAATAGAAACCACCAAAACCTCTAACAACCCACATGCAGCTTTTGGATTAAAGGAAATAAATAAAGCTTCCACAATGAGTTTTCTTTCTGTGCGTAGAGCCAGGCATGCCCTCCGCTGCTGCTACCATTAGCTTTACCGGAAACCCCTAGTTTATTTATAGTGTTTCTATAAGGTAAAGTTTTATTCAAAAGCAGTATCATGCATACACACACACAAAAGAAAAAGGACTTGTTTTACATTACAATTTCAGAGAATATAACAAGTCCAGCTGATCAGACATACTGAAAACACTCCCCTCTTTCAGCCAACAATACATATTTAGCACTCTCTTTGTTAGTCTATTATAGTTTTATGTATCCATTCACTCCAAAACTTGGCATTCCATCCCTCTGCTCCTTGTTTTGGTTAAAATCCACATAAAATAACAAAAGTTAATGTATTGTCCTCCCTTATCAAAAAGTTAATGTATTGTCCTCCCAAACTTGTTGGCCAACCTATTATTATGACTTCTATAAAGACATCAACCATTTGTCATCCTCCTTCCTAAACTAGAGGACCAACCAATTATAATTGTCTGCCAAAAAGACATCATCCATTTCTTATCTCAATCTCTACCATAAATCCATTAGTAAAAAGAAACTTTATCATCCATATATTTTCTTAATCTCTACTATAAATCCATTGTTAAAAGAAACTTTGGTTAATCACATTGCAATAGAGACGAGTATAGGCACACTTCATTTTGCTTTCCATATTGTTGATGTTGTTTTGAATAATTTTATTCGACAAAAATAATATGCATGCGCTCAACTGAATCTTCTGACTGATGGTTGACCTTTACCTCTTCATTCTTTCTGTTACTGCGGATTTCTGGTTGAATCAATATATCTTCAGTTTATCAATGTTTGTGAGACAACAAACAATATCAGTTGTGAACATTCTCATAAAATCTATTCGAACCCCCATCAGTAAAAGAGAAGCTTATGGATATCGTGGCCCTAAGAGAAAAAGATACCATATACAGAACCTTCTATGTAGTAGATAGCTGCGGCAGTGGGAAGAGGAGGGTTGGGCAATACAGATAAGCAGCAACTTCAATACAATTCCTTAGTTGTATGTCTGTATTTCTAGTTTATTATTTCTTATACTAGCCATGAGTTCAAAATTACCAGTCCTATCACAGTTGACCATAGAGGCAGCTTTCAACCACATTGATATATTTCTCTTGAATACGAAAAATAATAATACAGGTCATATAATTCAGAACACACGCATGGACTCTTTATCTACACCATTAAATACGGGATAGCAAGTTAGTTGATCCAACTCAAATTATGAAGCGTATTGTAAGTTTTTCCTCTAAGATATCCATATAACCACCTCAGTAACAAGGAAAGAAAAGGGTTAAGCTGGTCAGTTGGGAAAGAGAAGGGTTATGCTGGTCAGTTGGGTAGTTTTTTCCCATATACTAAGACTCCCTTTTTCTCAAGTTACGTTACCTTTCATTAACTCTAAATTTGAATTTTGCGCACACAAGCATGCTCCTCGATATCTATCGTATATTAAGGGGCCTAAAAGATGTACCAGCAACAAACTTCTACACAAGGAGCATACTTATGACTTCAAGCATTCTCGGGAGTTCACCTAGGAGTGGAGACAATCCAAAACTGAAACTCTGTTTTCAACAATAACTACTGAAGAAATCCATTTTCCATACCTGGGCTAAGCCTCCTGCTACAACTTCCAATGACATGAATGTGCGAGTTGAATCATCATTGACAAAGATCTCCCATTTGGTAAAATCTATCAAATACCTATGTCAATTATTAGACAATGGTTACCAAACAAACCATACCCAAAATAAAATCAGAGCATAGCATGATTAGCATCACTAATGCCACCTCACCTCCTCTGAAACTGAAGCTTCTGGCGTAGCATGGAGACCATTGAATTAATCTGATGCACACGGATTGGGACAGTTCTACCCAAACTAATGTGAAACTCTCTACCCAACACCACTTGTTCAAGCAGGGCCTCATCTTTCAACAAACCACTCAATGGTATATCGACATCAACAGCATGTAGACTGGGTACAAGTGCTGTGACCTTCTTTAGAAAACGGGCCAGCTCCGTCCTTGTTGTAGGTGGTACATAAACTAGAATGTAAAGAAAAATTAAGAAAATAAGTGCATACCAACCTACCAATAGACTAATCAATAACAATATGGCAAAAAGAGATGAATGAAAATTGCACTATTAAGTTATTCTGCTCTTTGCTCAATTCACAAAAATAAAATTAGAGGAAGCTGAAATGCTCCCTAGATTCGGAAGGTAGATGAAATTACCGGGGATATACACATGTAAAGCATAATTGCCTTCAACGTGAGGAAAGCTTCGAACGCGATTGACTTGACTGCTGGACAAGGAGTCCAAAGGAACTTCACAAGCAAAACATCAAACACTTAGTGAGCATAAATTCTCAAACACACGTCTTGTATCAGTTTTTTCCCTGCTTTTAAGTAAACTTTGATAGTAATGCAAAAGAAAAGTTACCAAGAGAGTTGGGCGGGTGAAGGAGTGAAATAGGAGGTGGAGGCAGAGGGGCCACTATTGTCTCTTCAGCAATGGATGTAGAAGCTGACGGCAGTGGAGGGGTGGGACTGGACCCAGAGTCGGAGTCGGAAGAA